TCATTCTATTTATCCACAGAACTACATTTGATGTAAATAAAAAGAATACATCCACATGATATGCTCTATTTAACATAGAAGACTAAATAGAAAGAATCATTTGAGAAGGATGGGAATCGGACCCACATCTTACAATAACCGGTTGGCTCAAGGGGAAACGGCGGATTTTTAGGATTTCGAATCCCATGAAATCCAATAGAAATCCGATAGCAATCCCTGAAGTCTTGGAAATACGATGAGAATCCTAGGAATACGTTATAAAAATTGGTCACATACGACGAAAACATAGTTTGTTTGAGGTAGAAACAATTATACTTTTAGACACTTGATTTTAAGGTGTGGGTGTGGGGTGTGGGTGGGTGTATGGGTGTGGATGTTCTATTAACGAAGTGCCACACCCACACCCACACCCTCAGAAGTATGGGTTTCAATATACAGATCACATCTAATTTTGGAAGCTATATTAGGATTGAAAGCATACATACCTAATTTATTACTAAATCGTATAGTACTGAGGAGTATTTTTCTGTTATGATCAATGAATAAAAACATGTTTGATATTTGTCTATTTATATACGATCTTGTTGTTCTTATGATTTGACAAATATGAGTAATAAAAAATTTTTGAAGCGTAACTAAAAATGATTTATTGGGCCAATGGAGGCGTTTAAACAAAATGCATGTGTTATTATTTCTTTTTTCTTGATTTCTAATGATTTGATGTACATATTTAGACATACATGCAACCATTTTATTTTGAAGGTAAAATTGAACTTTATTCTTCGTATTTCTATGACTGTAATGAGTAACAATGTTTTATATGTCAAGAATATATGAATAATCATGACATGATCATGAGTAATTTTGTTATTTCGTCAAGCATGCAATATTTTCCTCTCATTTGCTTATCGTCATTACTTCATCGAATAAACTAAAAGCAAATATTCAATATTTTTAAATGTTAATTATTGATTTAAAAAGATAATCACGAATAAAAACAAACGATCTCTCAATAACAAACAAAAATACTCGCTGATAAAAAAATATTTAGTGAATACTATATATTTAATGTAATGATTTGAAACAGAAAAATAAATAAACATTTTCATTTTTAAATTTATATATTTTCTAATAAAATAATAATTAATTCTAAAACACGAACAAAGCAAAACAAACAATTGTCTCATGTTAATACGGAGAGAAAATTACAATAAGAGTTCATAATTTCATTTATAACTTAAGTACACATGATTGAATAACCATTCTATCGGTAAAACCAATGAGTGCAAGGTGGGGTGTGGGTGTGGGTGTGTGGGTGTGGGTGGGTGTGTGGGTGTGGGTGGGTATGGGTGTGGGTGAAGGTGTGGGTGGGGGTGGGGGCGTGTGGGTGTGGGGTGTGAATATAAACAAAGATGGCAGTCACACACCCACACCCTTCTGGCAATCATTTTAGTGTTAAATTTGTGTTCATTACGACTTGTTCTCTCTTGACATAATTCCAATACGATTATTTGCATGCTTTCGACGATAACAAAATAGAACAAGTCGTCGAAAATCTTTGCGATAAGATGAAGCTGAGATAAGATAGACATAGAAGTTTGATGCATAACTTACGTATAAAATAATATTTGCTATAGTATAGACTAATTGCTCTTGTGATAAACGATAGTCGGATTTAACTATTGATGATGTTACAACTTGATAGATATTTATTATTGCAAATGGTATTATTGGAATCATGACTACAATGGTTTGTAAGAGTATCATTGAAGTTAAACCTTGTTGAAATGAAGAACGTAGTTGGTTGCTATTTAATTTAGTTACATTACGATATGTTAGGCAACCGAATATAGCCAATATTGTACCAGGTAATGCACTGAGAATAATAGGTCGATATATGTAACTTACATAGATAAGTAGACCAGAATTAATAATGGAGCATGTGTGAGTAATGTTACCTATGTTAGTTTGCACTTCAATTATGGTATAGAACAGTAGAAGTGGTAGATGACCTATGGCAATTACCAGAACAGCTATGATAATAGCGATTTTTGCTGTGCTCAGTTTACTTCTATTTCGCCATGTTACTCCTCGACATGATACAAAAAATCTGTCGATAGAAGCAAAACATAGGCATGTAAAAGAGACTGTGGCGGTAGAATAGGAAATATAATAACGACATTTACACCAAATAATACTGGTCGATGTGGCATCTATATTAACACTAAAGGATAATATTTTTGGAAGAAGACCTTCTGATAGTGTAATGATATTAAAAACCGATGATACAAGCAAAAGAAATGAAGATGAATTGGATCGAGTTGGAAATAAAATACAAATATTGATTACATTTCCAATAATACCAAAAGTACATATTGAAAGACCAGCATAGATACTGAACTGGCTGCTTATAAATGAAAACGGTGTTGAAGACATTATGTTTTCAAGAATAAATGTGTTTCGGTACTTTACATATTAATATATTTATGTTCTAGATATCGAACAGATTATCTGGTATGACAATTGAAAGGCAAGCTTACCTTGAATAATTCACTAGTGTCATTCTGTAAAAATAATCTAATTCAACAAAATTAGCTGATGTTACATCTAGTAGTGTTAAAACAACAAAACTAATATACAGGATGTTACATATGCATTACGCCCACTCTACAACTTAAAGTATAAATGATATCATCAAGTATTTTATACCAAATTAGTGTTTATCAAAATCTAGATTTATGAATGTAATTAGAGCAATTATGCCAAAATGCATTCGTACTTTACGATTTTCATTCTTCATTTACATATTGTGACAAAAGCTAATAGCAGATTCTTGATCTTCATCAAAAACTGAATCTGTAAACATACCATTTGTATATTTTTGATGAAAAAAAGTTGTTTTGAAAAAAATCATGGGAGGTACCCCAGTGAAAATTTTTTTTTGAACTGAAATATCTCGATTTATGTATCAGTACACAGTTTTGGACAGAGATCACGACTTTCAAATTACTTTTGTTGACAAATGTAATAAAAAAAAACAAAAATTGCAATAAATGAGCCCATTTAGGCAAAACAAAATTGTCATAAATTTTATAGTATCAGGTCTATTAAAAAATTATCATGGGATACTTCCCATGATTTTTTCAAAAAAACTTTTCTTTTTTTATCAAAAAAAAAGATATACAAATGGTATGTCTGTAGATTCAGTTTTTTATGGAAACCACGAATCTATTATTAGTTTTTTGTGAAAATATGTACATGAAGAATGAAAACTGTAAAGTACGAATGCATTTTGGCATGTAATTCAAGACATTTCAATAATTTCATAGGCAATAGTTGCCCTAATTACACTCATAAATCTAGTTTTTGATGAACATTAATTTGGTATAAAATACTTTGTGATATCACTTACACCTTAAGTTGTAGGAGGGAGGGGAGGGGGACACAATCCTTTTGTAATACCCTGTACATATACAAAGATTTTATCACAATGATGACGATAAATATCAATTTAACTTTCATTTATAGCAATAAAACAGCACGAATTAATTTTTTAAATTAGACACAGTACTTATTTCGATTAATTCAAATTGTAATCTTAGCATCAATATCGACTTTTTTTTATTGATATTGGAACATAAATTTCAAAAGTATTTTTATGAATAAGCCAATCAATATTATATATTTTCGAACTATAAAATTCTCAGAAAAGACAGAGATCATTCTATAAAACCCTTCATTCTTTTTTCTCAGAATATAATTCAACACAACTTAAGAACATATTACCTTTATATTGTACATATCATCTATGAACTATGTGAATTTCTCAGACAAATAAGCATTGATAACAAAAATACTATTCAAGAAATATATACTTATAAGTTCTGTCCTTTGCTTTTTGCTTGAAGCTCGTTAAACGAATCTACAGTCGGAAACAAAAGTTTAAGTGAAATTAGTTTTTCAGTATTTTTTTTCATATTGTGAGGTACAGGTCTGATTCGAATGGTGATATAGATAGTATGAGAGACCAGCTACATGATGTCTTATACAACGAGACTCTATCTGTCTATATAGATTTTTCATGATTAAAATAATTTTTTCTATACGAAAACAAGTTTGAGTAGCTTTCAGTATTTCACATTTCTTAACCAAAAGATTTAAGCTGAAATGAAACAGAATGATATCAATCGATAGAGCATTTGACGTTCTACCAGTTTATAGAAATAGATTTTTTCCCGGAGTCGATCTTCACCTTTGAAACTCGGTTAGAGTGAGAATAATCAGCATTTTTCTCCGGTCAAAATCATTAAAAAACAAAAGCTAATTGTGTTTCTCAAAACTTTATTTCAATAAGATGGGCGTGAAAAATCAGTAATACTCGAACTTCAAATACAATATTTTCTTCAGTTTTGAATGCTCTTTCCAACGATCTATGAAACATTGTAATAAGAAGGAGTTTGTGGGAAGTAATTCACTTTTTCCGTTTTTGCTGACTATTCTCACTCAAAGCAAGTTTCGAAGGTGAAGATCGACTCCGGGAAAAAATCTATTTCTATAAACTGATAGAGCATGAAATGCTCTCTCGATTGATATCATTCTGTTTCATTTCAGCTTAAATCTCTTGGTTAAGAAATACGAAATACTGAAAGCTACTCAAACTTGTTTTTGTATAGAAAAAATTATTTTAATCATGAAAAATCTATATAGACAGATAGAGTCTCGTTGTATAAGACATCATGTAGCTGGTCTCTCATACTATCTATATCACCATTCGAATCAGACCTGTACCTCACAATATGAAAAAAAATACTGAAAAACTAATTTCACTTAAACTTTTGTCCCCAAGTGTATATTGATGTCAATGAAGTATAGTGACGAACTTTGTAGTTTTTTAGATTTAGCTCCACCTAAATTAAAGCTAAGGACAGCTAATATATATTATAGTTGATGTGAAAGTGCAATTGACTTTGGTATGCACAAAATAATTGAAAAACATCCTCTTAGAAAAAAAAAATGCATAATCCGGATAAAGCTTTATGAACAAGGGAAGTTAATTAATTTAGATTAAAGTTTATAAAATAAAGTCACACTAAATACTACAGATACAAAGTCTTAATATTTTCTTTGGATTTTTTTCTTTTACTTTCTTATCAAATGGTCCAATCCAAAATTTACCAAATATGATTGTTTATCATGTACAATCATTTATATTATTTAGACAAAATATATAGTTTTTAATGACGCTACTGCGGACAATCATTCATTATACTCTAATATCATAATCAAAAAGATATATATGTGGTAAAATACATTATTTCTATTAAACATTGCTTCGTATCAATCCTCTGCACGTTAGGAAAAATATTTGAAAAACAAAATTTTCTCGAAAACGTTCATTCAATCGTTCGATATTCCTGTGTCTCCATTATAAAAACAATTTCATTTAACTATACACATGATTCAAGAAAACAAGCTACATACATACCATGAATAATTAGTTATAAATCGATAATATTATCTAAGAATAACCTAATCAACGAGAATTAAAATTATAACTAATATACTGTCTATTGAAAAGTTTATCTAAATATGTTTGACTACACCTAAAACTGAACTGTGTCTAATACATATACATTGATTTTAAAGTAGGAGCTACTGCCAATACTATATTAGTTATTTAAACAATCTTCATGTATTTCTATATATTGAACAGAGATCAGCACAAGTTGGAATTGTCATGTGAATTTAGCTGCTTCACAGTAAATCAAGTGACGCGACACAATAGTAAATAAATGAGCTATCCACACTAAAATTCATCAAGAAATATTGAACATTCAAGCAAAAGTGAAGGAAAATCTGGAGATGGCAGGAATAAGTACAATTTTAATTAAAAAAACCAATTTTGTTGCATTGATTAATATTTGGATTTAACAGTTCACAGATGGACTTGGTCGTTGAGTAAGACTATTTAGATCAAATGAGGTATGTTCAGATTTCCGAAAAGGGAAATTACAGAAATTTCCGAAGCTTTCATCAACTCGATAACTACATAGCAAAGCAAATGAAAATTTTTTGGAAATATTGGAAATTTTAGAATTTTCTGCAATTTCGCTACATGCAGAATTTTGGAAATTTCGGAAACTATATAATTTTGGAAAGTACCAAACAATTTAGAACACAAGTGCTTGAAATTTCCAAAACTTCCAAAATTTCCTTTTTCGGAAGTCTGAACACTGCTGTTTCATCGACGAGTATATTAAAACATGAGAGCAAAATCATTTTCAATGTTCATTTAAGGATTCTTTTTACTATTTTATGTTTTAAGTACTGTAAGCTAATTGAGCACAACTAAACAAAAAAAAAAATAGCGCATCAATCATTTTGCATAGAAACTTATATGAATCGAAATTGTTTATTATTTTATGAAAAAAATAAACAAGATAAACTAAATTGTGAACATTCTATCTAATTGAACGTTTATATTAAACAAGAAAAAACTTGTGTTCACGGTCAATATGTTGCTTGCATATGAAAAACAAGTTCTTCATTCAATTTAATTGACTGGTCATGATAACTGATGTACCATGAAAGCTACGTTCATTTTGAATTATTCAAATGGTTCTTATGACAACAAAATAGAACAAGTCGTAAAAAATCTCGACGATAAGATGAAGCTGAGATAATATAAACATAGAAGTTCGATACATAACTGATGTATGAAATAATAGTGATTATACTAAAGATCAATGCTTCTTGGGATAAACGATAAGGTGGTTTAACTATTGAGGATGTTATTATTTGACTCGTTGAAATGTACCATGTACTGAGAAGAATAGCTCAAAGAATATAACTTATATTAATTACAAGAACAGGAGTTATAAAAGAACATATGTTGATCACGTTATCTGTACCACTTGTCACTTGTATAGCAGTAGGACACAGTAAAAGTGGCATAGTACTTGTGGCAATAGTAAGAAAAACTATGAGAGCAGAAATGTTTGCTGTGCTTAGCTTACTCCGATTACGCACATGTCACTCTTCGACATGATATAGAATATTTGTCGATAGAAGCAAAACAAAGATATGTTAGAGATGTTATGATTACCGCATACACAATAAAAAAACGACTTTTACACCTAGATTATACTAGTCGGTGAAGCATCTATACTAAAACTGATTGAGAACGTTCTTTGTAGAAGACCTTCAACTAGCACAATAGCATTGAAAAATGATGAGATAAATAAAAGAAATGGAGATAAATTGGATCGAGTAAAACATACAAGAGAAATATTGATTAGATTTCCAATGAAACCAAATATATACACTTGGAAACCAATCTAAATATTGAACTGACTGTTCATGATAGAAAACGATGTTGATGACATTAGGTTTTCAAGATAACATGTTTTCCTATGCGGTATACATGTAATAGAATATCTCGTATGATATGTGGATACGAATATCTATTTCAATAATTCATTCCTATTGACTTATCAAATGTATAATATATATATAGAAAACTATAATTAAACTTCTGATTAAAAAAATCAAGTTTTTTTTTTAATAAACCAGTATCATTTGAAATCGCCTAACAGATTTTGATTGCACAATAGAAGAATCTGATCGTATTACAGCAGTTGGGTGTGGGTGTAGGTGATCGAAGAAGAAAAACTCATATCCACAGGCACACACCCACACCCACACCCAACACCCACAGACACACCCATGCCGATACTCACGCTCACAGCCATATTCGTCCTTCGTGTTTCGCACGCATACTAACAGCGACTCAGATGCGTTTCAACTCAGAAAATATTTGCATGAGTTGTAACTGAAGCAGTGAACAACACTATGCTAATAAGGTTTCTTCTATTGAATTTGTCCCTTCAAGCTTTTTTTCGTCCTTATTTACTTTACTAGTTGTGTCTGTTATACTGCTGTTTTTTTGTCAACAATGTATCCTCTAGCGTTTACTTTTTCCATCTGTTATGTGCTTCTGCATCATTGACAAATGTCTTTATCATTTCTCTGCGTAATATTTTACTTTTGCTTGGGTTTTTTTCCCATTCAGAGTTCGATAAATACCGAAAGGTTTAAAATATAGGTATCAACCTTCGTCAAATAAAGTAGAGAATAAACGACGTTACAAGTAAACATTCCGATGATTTCAAACAGTGTTCTGTGTAACACATTCGTTTTGAAATACCAACAAGTAACGTTTCAATCCCATACAAACATCATCACCAGACTGCTATTTATTTCCATTGATGTAGAAGGGAGTGTGGGTGGTGTGGGTGTGGGTGTGGGTGGGGTGTGAGTGTGGGTTGGGTGTGGGTGGGGTGTGGGTGTGGGTGTGGGTGCGTGTGGGTGTGGGTGTGGGTGGGTGTGGGTGTCGATGGGTGTGGGTGTGGGTGTCGATGGGTGTGGGTGTGGGCGTGGGTGTGTGTGTATGAAGATAAGACATCTACACCCACACTCATACCCACACCCACCCACACTCGCACCCACACCCACACCCACACCCCACACCCACATCCACCCACACCCACACCCACCCACACCCACACACCCACACACCCACACCCACCCACACCCACACCCACACCCACACCCACACCTACACCCACACCCCAGACCCACACCCACACCCACACCCACCACACACCCACACCCACACCCACACACCCACACCCCACACCCACACCCACCCAC